ATGTTGGGTATGACCGTGTTCCCTCTCTTCACGTAAGAAGCTCTGAAGCCATCCACTGACAGGATGATGAGAGGAGGACGCACAAACCTGCACACAGAACACAGAACAGAAGATTAAAACCTGAGTCAGACTGGTTTAATCTCCTCTTCTTCTTCTTCTTTACCCTGCAGGACATTCAGCCGTCCTGATCTCCTCACACTCGTCCTGCAGCCATGAGGAGTCTCCTGAGAACAGAGCAGAGAGACAGATGATTAAATGTTCTGCTTCCTGTTCAGTCCAACAGTCAGAATCTGTAAAACTTATACTTTTGTCTGAGTTGTATGTAACAGCATCTTTATTTTTAATTAAACGCAGAACTTTTGATGAGAATAAAACATTTAGCATTACAGCAGCTGAATAAAGGTTATTTTTTTAAACCAGTTCTTGACTTATTGCTCACATTCAGTCTGACCATAAAAATTAATACGTGTAAAGATAAAAAGTGGCAAGAGTAGTTTATCAGATTTTACAGAAATACTGCTAATAATTTTTTTTATAATGCAATAACACAGAAACTATTAAAATAAAAACTTTAAGACAGATTTATAGATTATTTGATCRTCTTCTGTTGAGAATTGATGAAGTTGTGGTCAAAATGTGATGTATTAGTGCTTCAAGTGTGTGTTGTCAATGATACTTTGCTACTAYCACAMCTCATTTTAGCTCATTATKTGYAAAACTGACTTATAGTAATGTTTGTATTGGCTGTGGGGTCGACTCTAAAAGTTAAGCAAGGATTAGTTTCTAAARGTTTGACTAAAATCTGTCCAGTGGTTCATGAGATATTTTGYTGATGCTACAGACAATCGTAGAATAACTGATAAAACAAAAAGAAACACTAAATCTGTGTGAACGTTTACTTTCTAAGTACTTTGACTCATCGTCAGCTCAAACAGGAAGTGGACAAATGCAAGTGAAGCTGAGACAATAAAAGCACAAGTTTCTGAACATTTAAACTAAATAAAAGTGATCAAACCTTTGCAGAGCGTTCTGTAGTTGGTGCAGCAGTCTCCTCGGCTCAGACAGTCATCAGAACAGTGACAGGCGTGCTGCTCGCTCCGACTCTCCCCACAGCGATCCTTGCTGCACTCATAACCCCCATCTGCATGCAGGAACAGCAYGGCACAGCTTTATAAGGATGTGAGTAAATATATCATGACTCTCAGGCACAGAAGAGATTCAAAGACGAGGTGGAGGTGAGCCGAAGACCAACAACACTGGAAGAGTCAAGTAATAAATCTCAAATTACAGATCAGTTGCTGTTAAAAACTGTGACCCAAGAAGATGAATAAAAAACATTTTTTATATAAATCTGGTCCAGATTTAGAGGGTGAGGTTCAGCCTCAAGTGGAGGAGTTTTAAGCCTCAGGGTGTTTTGTTCATGAGTAAAGGATGGATGGATGGATGGATGGATGGATGGATGGATGGATGGATGGATGGATGGATGGATGGATGGATGGAT